TAACATTCTTTACTATGACATCCATTAAATTCCCTTCCTTACCGTTAATTGTAAACGCTATTGTGCGCTTTTCCATTCTCTGTTTCGTCTCTTTTTAACGAGATTATAAGTGTTTCTATCCTATTCTATCGCGTGTCGCATTGCGCGTTTATTGGTGCGCAGGCTCATTGCAATTTCGCCACAAAATTTTTTCGAAAACCTTATTTAACAACAAGCCGGTGTTTTGAAGAACTGTATCATGAATCTATATTTTCTATGACCTATCAGGTTCAACATTGATTTTTTTTGGTAACGATATTCAAAATAGTATTATGTAGATATTAGTCCATAGAACATTGTACCGCGTCACGTTTAGCGCATCACGCATCTGCAGAGCTTACGGCTATGCGTAATACAATCGACCAACTATTATCTTACTCTTTTTTTTATATTCGTCGAACGATACTTATAGAAGATTACAAATTTGCTGTAATTGTATTGTATTGGAATTAAAAATTTAATAATATAATAAAATATATATAAAATACACATAATTATAGGTTAGAAATTTTGACGTTTTTTAAGGTATGATACACTTAAATGTAATAAAAGAAATAAAAATATGTATTTTAAATAATAATAATGGCATTTTAATAATATAATATAATATAATAATATAATATTTTATATCAAATGTATAAATTATAGCATATAAATTTATTATTTTTTTAAATTCATTATATTTAAATTATTTTTGTTATAAAATATTATTTCTAAAGAAAATATTGCATATTTATATCATATATTATTAATTTGCTTAAATTATAATATTTATTATTTCAAGAAAATATAAAATTATATATTTATTTGTTACAAATTTTTTTAAAATAATTTATTTAGATTTTGATTAAAAAATAAAACTATGAAAACTATTTTTATTACATGAATTATCATAATTTTAATAAGAGAATTTTGATAAATAAAAATTTTTATTCCATTAAATAATTTTTTTATTCCAGATATTTACATAAGAAAAATGTGTAGTTATACATATTTTATAATACATATATTTGTATTTTGTATATATTTTTTTATAGTAATTTCCAAATCCAAGATGACCTTGATATACTTTCAAAAAATTGGCGTGAAGGAACTGTCATTTCCGTTAGTTAAGTACATACGTGAACGTTCTTTTTTGCCGCACGCATGCTCATCGCTTATTATTGATATCGCGAACATCGTGCGACGGCGTACCGCATATCGGTCACGGCCACCAACGAAACTGTTAATTATCTATTAGATATGAACGAGATTTACGAATATCGATATTAAAGTGATATCATAATTTAAAATGAATTAAAAATTCTAGTATACAAAAAATATACAAACAAATGATTTACAAATCAATAAAGAAAATTCATTTATTCTATGATATCGTCAATATTAGAATTTGATAGAAAACTAATTACAATTATATTAAAATTTATATTAAAAATATATTTATAGTTGCAAATATTAATTTAATATATTATAATTAAAAGAATATTATATGGATTAATATTATATTTTAATATTATACTTTTATTAGTAGACAAAGAAATGCTAAAGCACAAAAATCCATAAAAATCATATATAAATTTACCTTCAATTAATTTAATCTTATGAGTTACATATATTTGCATTATATTTTGCAATAAATTATATGCCAATATGT